AAAATAGCTTTATGTAAGTATATTCGAATTAGATAATGGCTGTTACTTTTGTCAAAAGGACTCAATGCCAGAATGAGGGTTGGAATCTTTAAGATCCCTTTCAGGCTGAGATTTTATGCATTTATGAGTGTTTACTTGGTTTAAGTCACTAAAATCAAAGTGATTTATTTCATGGATGCGTAAGGAACAGTTAGAAAGTGGGAGAAGATGACAGTCTAGGTAGAACATCCAGACCTAAGGTTGGAGGAGTCAGGGATGATCAGAGTAAGGGGGTCATGTCAGGAATTGAGAAAGCAAGACGGGCGTGCTGTGGTCTTTCTATAGTTCTGAGGTCGCTAAGAAGGAAGTTCCATTTGTTCCAGAAGGTGATATTCGATGCCCCTTCGAATGACCCCAGAGCAATTTTCCTAACATGCAACACAATCAGCATCTCTGGCTACAAAATTCATTTCTGTCTTCAGAAAACCAAGACTCTCCTTTCCCTGGGGCTTTTCTCCTTAGAGGCTGTGGCATTCAGGCAGGAAATCCTGGCACTAGAGACTCTTTCTTCCCTTCAACAGTTCCACATTACTCTCACAACTTGAATTTCTTTAATGCTTGGGGAATGATAAGCGCTCTGGAGGCTTGTAATTCCTCTGAATTTATCTCTGGATAATGTTGCTAATGAGCAAACCCACACTTAGCATTTATCAGTGTTTTTTTAACATTTCAATAATCCTTTTTTTGAAGCAAATATGATGTTTGGTTTACTAGTAGGTGCTTTTTAAGCAGCTAAGAGCAAATATTGTATTTTATTAATTGGAGTTGACTAGAAATATGCATTAAGAGTACCTTAGTTAATAGGTTCATCTTGGGTTAACTGTTGCAAGATAATTTAATATTTACCTGAAACTGAAGTGATAGAAATTTGGTTTGCCTTGAGAATGCTAGAAATAGTTCAGTTCCTGGTTAATACAACAACTGATGCTGCTGGAATTGGATCTAATTGCATTCTCTTGCTTTCATTTTATTGTTAAGCACTGACATGGAGTCTATGCTTCATGGGAAACACAACTTCAAGTGCAGCGAAAAGTTGAAAGGGGTCTTTCCAAATATAACAGATGAGAGTGTAAACTGATACGAGTCTTACAACAAGCATTCTCTTATATTTTGTAACAAATATAAAAAGCTTAAAAATGTCTACCCTTTGAATCTAGTAATTCCTCCTCTGTGAATTTACTGTTAGGATATATCTGATTCACCTCTGGTCTTTCAAATCCAGTCAGCCTACCTACATGATAATTAAAATCCAGTTACATAAATATACCTAGAAAATGTCATTGGCTCTCTCCATTATCACTTGATGCTATTACTTTTACTCCATCTCTTTGGCCCGTAAGTTTCTGGGTCAGAACTATTCTGACCTCTTAGTTTTTAGTGACCAGTTCAGATTCTTGCTTTAGCTTATTGACTAAACTAATTTTATTTAACTTACCATTTGGCTTTATGATTTAGTTCTACAACCTCTGCAACCTTTAGGAAAAGAATCTGTCATCATGAAATACTGCTATCTTGCTTACTTATTCATCTTCATTTGCCCCAATAGTAAGAGAAGGATATTTGAACAATGAAACAGAACATACTTGTTCTTCTCAGACTTAAACAAGTCAGTTAGTTAAAAATTACAAACAATCCAAATTTTTTACAATATGGTATAAATAAAGTAAATTATGGTTTGATAGCTGCATGATATTACATTAAAACTATTTATTTACATTACTGTAATGGAGGTAATGTAACATGAGGTAAGTCAAGTAATATTGCTTCTAGGGTTCTAACTCATATGTACATGAGTTTATTCCAAACAAAATGTGTTTCATCATGTCTCTGTGAATGGTGGATGGTTCTAGACAATTTCACTCCATAGAACACTTGTCTTGGTCTCTTTGGAGTGCCTTTAAATAAAAGGTCCAATTAAACAGTGACTTTCAAGGGAATCTGCTGGGCCAGTTAAATTCAAGGCAGAGAGGGCAGCTCAGCAAGTGACTGTTTTTTTAGTATCCCAAAGAGATAATCTTGTTAGACTTTGTCAGAGGATGCAGGTTTGCATGGGAGTTTATTAGGAAGAGATTTTAAGAAAAAGACAAGAAAATTTGCACTGGGATTTTTTTTTTTTTCATCATGACAGTGTATCTATCTACTCATTCTTAGAGGTTGCCCTATGAGAATATCACTGGAAACCCTTACCCCATCCACCCTAAAGCACTGGTCTTGCCCCTTCAGACTACTTTTTGTTCCCCAAACTCAAAGAACATTTCAAAGGAACATGATTTAAGTTCTATGAGGATGTCAAAACTGCCATTTTGATATGGTATAAATTGAAGAACACAGGATTCTTTGGGAAAGAGTTAGAGAGATGTATAGGCATAAATGAAGGATATGTCATTTATGTCACCATATGTCAACAGTAACTTCACAGTTTGATATTTTTGTTTAATAAAGGTCCCTATGATTTTATAGCAATACTTTTTGACTTACCCTCATAATATGAAAAAGGTTGCATCACAGAATATAAAGGCAGGGAGGGATTTGTTGGGTTTTGTGTGTGTAATCTGCTTTGTCCACTATTATTTTCCTGGTGCTTAGAACAATACTTGGCATATAGTTGGAACTTAATAGGTATTTATTGGGGGAAAAATTGATAAAATTAAGTGTATAAGGTAGGATATTACTTTGGATACACAAAATGATTATACGTATGCAATCCAAAAAAATTAATTATAATATCTACAGAAATGTTTGAAAATGTTACAAGGGTTACCTTTGGGTGATAAAATATCCAATATTATTTTTTGTCCTCTTTCTACTCTTATCTATCCATGTAAACATGTATCAAATAGAGGTCTTGCAAGAGTATGTCCTAAAGTTGGGTGAGGCAGGTAGAGTCAAGACAGACCCTTCCATCAATATCCTTACTCCCTTAGCATCAATACATTTAATCAGATTGCTTGTTTAACATCCATCTAAGGTCTGGATGTGGCACTGTAGGGTCAGCACTGGACTGTGAACCACAAGTTCAGCAGTTCAAACCCACCAGCTGCTCCTCAGAAACCCTATACAGGGTCGTTATGAGTAGGAACTGACTCAACAGCACTTAATAACAACAAGGTCTGGATGGGAAGAACTGAGATCATTTCATGGAACTTCTATAAATCCAATAGGAGCCCTGGTAATGCAGTGGTTAAGCACCAGCCTGCCAACCAAAAGGTCACCAGCCATGATCTGCTGGAGAAAGATGTGGCAGTCGCTACTATAAAGATTTACAACCTTGGAAACCCTATGGGACAGTTTTAGTCTGCACTATAATAATATTGTTATGAGTCAGAATTGACTTGGCAGCAATGGGTTTGGTTTGGGACTTAAAAATTTACTAGCAAAACCAGATTATGTAGAGTCATCCATCTTTACTGGTTTATCGTGTCTCACCAGTTTTGGTATGTTGTTGAAAGTATGACTGGGGATTTAACCAATTGCTACAATGAATAAACAACTCATGTCTGCTGACTCACAATAAACTTTATGTTAACATTTTCAGTTAGCAAACATAAGCTGCAATTAACAACGTAATGAACATTTTCTAAAAGTTTATTTTTTTAAGGCAATTACTCTCTAATGATAATTTATACACTTATTTAATGTTTTCAGACCTGTTCCCATTTGATCTTAAATACAGTTTTATAATATAGGCAGAGTCAGATTTGGTTATCAGTTCCATTTTACAGATGGGAAAACTGAATTCCAGAGAGATTGAGTGGTTTTCCGAGGTCTCAACAAATTTAGCTCAGACTAAGTTCCAGGGCAGAAAAAAAAATTAAAGATAAGTCTGTTGAATAATTTGAAGTACTCTCCTTGTAAATAGATGTCTGAGTTGGTATAAACTACAGTTGTAGCAGGCACAATGGAAATAGAAGAGCCCTTAAAAGTGAAGACAATCTCAAAGATGAGTTGGGTTTATTGCAGACCAGGGGTGGGAGTAGGGCTGGGAAAAACATTCTTTGAGAAGTTAATATTTCACTGCACAGTGCTATTTGTTTAGGCTATAAGATTCTGATGAAGAAGATCTAAAATATCTAATCGAGCTCTAGACCTCAAGGATCTAACTCCATACTTGTGACTTAGAATAATAATCCTAAGTGGTTTTTTTTTTTTTATTTTGCTCAATAGTATCCCATCCATTATCTCAGCTGAGCTTCAAAAATGTTTATTGGGCATTTGAGATGTGACATATTATACTGGACAAGAGCCTGGAACTCTGAAATGGTAACATCCTCAACTGTATTTACCTTTTAGCTGGGTGACATCAGGAGATTTATTTAATCTTTTGTGCTTGAGTTTATTCATCCATAAAAAGGTAATAATAACACTTACCTCCTTGTGTTGCTATGAGGTTTAAAATAATAAGTACATATAAAGCACTTTATAAGTACATGTAAAGTAGGAGCTCTGGTAGTGTAGTGGTTACGAATCGGGCTGCGAGCCCCAAGGTAAGCAGTTCGAAACTACCAGCTGTTCCGCGGGAGAATGATAAGGCTTTCTGTTCCCATAAAGATTTACAGCCTCGGAAACCCTGTACAGGGTTTCTATGAGTCGGAACCGACTCCACTGCATACAACAACAACAACAACAACAAAGTACTTAGATAGTGTCTGTCATATAGAAAAAGCTCAATAAAGTTAGTTGTTATTTAAGCACATTAAATACATTTCACAGATATAGAAATTAAATCCTAGAGAATTTAGATTAGTTTTCCAAGGCCACAGCAGGTCAATGATATATTTAAGCCTTGAACACAGTTCCTTCTGAGTCTTTTCCTAATATTCCTATCAACAAATCAATGTGAAAATCATCCTAGCCTCCTCACTCAGTCAAATGATTGAAGGGAAGGTATAAATGGTGTAGACAAGAGCCTAGAGGCATTGAAGACAGTCCTAATTCGTGTCCTATTGAGTGTCCTCACTCACCCTGATTAATTTGAGGAAAGCCCTTTTCACATCCTTATTTCTGAGGCTGTAGATGATAGGGTTGAGAAAGGCAGAGATGACATTATAGAAGAGAGCCAACTTCTTGTCATCCTCTGGGGAAGCCTCAGAGCCAGGCCTCATATACATGATCATGCAAGGAATACAAAACATAGTGACCACAGTGATATGTGAGGCACAGGTAGAGAAGGCCTTTATTCGCCCTTGGGTAGAACGAATCCTCAGAATAGCTGTGAAGATTCGAACATATGAGGCCAGGATGAGGGATAATGGGATCAAGAGCAAGATGAAACCCAATATAAAGTCCACTTGGTCATTGAGAGATGTGTCTGCACAGGCCAACTTCAAAACGGCAGGAATTTCACAAAAGAAATGGTTGATCTCATTGGGGCCACAGTAAGGTAGAGTCATTGCAAAGACAGTATAGACAAGAGCACAGGTAAGACCACAAAAGGCAGAGCTGACTACCAAGAGTATACAGAGAGTTTGACTCATTTGGACCCCATAGTGGAGTGGATAGCATATGGCAACATATCGGTCATAGGCCATGGCTGCAAAAATCCAGGTCTCAGTGATGCCTAAGGTCAGGAAAACATACATCTGGACCACACACCCAATGTAGGAGATCGTTGTTTTCTTGCTTACTAGATGCACCAACATCTGGGGTACTGTGGTAGTAGCATAGCTGAGATCCAATAGAGAAAGAATGCTGAGGAAGAAGTACATGGGGGTGTGAAGGCGTGCATCTATTCTGATCAGGGTAACAATGAGCCCATTACCTAGGACTGTAAACAAATACAGGAAGAGAAAGAGGAAGAAAAGGATCCAGTTGGTCTTGGGGTTTCTGGAGAAGCCCAGGAGTATAAACTCTGTTACAGAGCTGTGATTTCTCCTGTCTCGATTTTGCATGGTCTTCCTTCTGAGGATAGAAGAGAACATATTCTTGACTCCTTTACAGTCTTAGTGAAAACATGTGAGCCCTACAGATGCAAGGCATCTCAGAGCTTACCAAATTAACCAAGATGTCCACCCCCTAACGCAAAAATGTTTCATCCAACCTGGCTAGCACAGCTCAAGGTACTAGGCAAACAAACAAAGACCCCACCGCCATCCAGTTGATTCCAACTCATAGCAACCCAAAATTGGGTTTTTGAGACTATAAAAATTTACAGCAGTAGGCAAAAATTCTATACACATTGTTGGCTTATCTAACTAACTGGTGTAGCACTGTAGGATAAGCACTGGACTGCTAACTGCAAGGTCGGTGGTTAAAACCACAGTTGCTCCATGGAAACCCTATATAGGGTTGCTATGAGTTGGAACCAACTCAACAGCACCTGTTGTTACATGCCGTCGAGTCAGTTCTGACTCACAGCAAACTTGTATAGGGTTTCCATAGAGTGAATGGTGGGTTTGAACCACTGACCTTGCTGTTAGCAGTCCAGTGGTTATCCTACAGCACCTCACTGGGACTCCATCTAACAAACTAGACTTGATAAAAATCCTAAGAGCTCTAAGGGAGAAATTGTACAACAAAAACAAAACCATATTTTGAAGGACACACACATGCACACACACACACTATACATCATACATACGTAACATAAAACAGTCAAAGTAAGGAAGCTAGGGAAATACAAACTGTATTATAGTGAACTAAAATGTTCAAGAGTTGTCAGTAGTTCCTAAAATCATTCAACTATCAAGACGAACAGGTGCTGCAATGATACTGTAAATGTAAAACAAGCAAGCAATGAAACAAAACAAAACCCTAACTTCTTCTCTTTACCTTCTTACCTCCTGATGCTATAATTTTGAAAAACATACATAATACATCTTCAGGAAAAACATGAAAATTTCAAATCAACTTCCTTTTGAAAGAAAAGAGAAATAACTTTTCTAGAATCTTTATCTTCCTCACGGCAACCTTCCCAGGCCTACCTACAGAGTTTACAACTACAAAGAACAAATTGACATCTAAAGATGGCCACAGAGACTCAGTTGTTGAAACCTAAAGAAAACTTTTGTGGCTCTGCTATTTCTCAAAAAGAAGAGATGTACTAACCTGAAATAGGTGCTTCTGTGTCTGGAAGACTTTTTTAGAATCTAGTGAGAAATCCTCCACAGCTTTGCTGTTCATAGGGCAGAGATGAGCAATGGACAGGAAGGAATCTTCGGTTTGATCTGGACTCAATCTTTGATCCTGTATGTTGGCAGGCGTGGACACCAGAACATGCTAGTGGCTCATTCTTATCTCTTAATGTTCTTAAATGACTGCAACAGAATGTTGATGTCTATATGTGCCACCCTTTCAGACCCCAGCAATGACAGAATTCTCTTTTTCTGTCTACAGACACTGTAATCAAAGGTTCTAATAATTGTTATCTGATTAGACTATCACAATAATACTGTGAGGTAGGTATCTCTATTTTCATTTTCATAGAATCAATCATCCATAATAAAATTTAAATCCCAAGTCCTATGCTATTTCCACCACAGAGAAATGTGATGTATCTTTCACACCATTCCATTTCATTTAGGGTCTAGAAGGGCCTCTGTGATAGTTAAGGGTTTGTGTCAACTGGACTTGTTCAGGATTCTCAGTGGTATTTCTATTATAGCAGCACTAGATAATTAAGACAGAATTTGGTACCAGGAGAGTGGGGTGCTGCTCAAGCAGATACCTAAAATGTGCAAGTGGTTTTAGAAAAGTCTAGAAGAGTACTAAATTACCAAATAGCAAAAGCTTAGATTGTCTAAAATAGAATGTCAGAATTATGGACATAAAAGGCAATTCTGATAAGGGTTCAGAGAACTCTAACACTGGAGATGGAACAAACTGTGAGAAGCTGTGGCAGAGAAATTGCAGCAGTAGAATGAGGAGACCAACATAAGACTGCACAGAAGCTGACCCATGGAGTGAGAACTGAGTACTTTCATGTAGGAGATTTCTGGTGGAGCGGGGTCCTCTGGGCACTTGTCAGTGAAGTTAGGCTCTCTGACCCACGGAACAAAAAAACTGAGCACCTATTGGCCAAGGCTCACTTATGGAGTAGGGTGCCTCTGGGCATTTATCAGTCCAGCAAAAGAGCTTTGTAACACTTGTTCAAGAAGAGCAGATACCATGCTGACCTCTTCTAGAGATCAAGGAAAACAAGAAATGGAGCTGCTTCTGTCTCAAAAGTTAGGATCATGACTCTGGATTCTCAAAGGATAGAACCATGTCCTCTGTGGTTTCTAAAGGCGGGGCCACAGTTCCAGTCAGTAGGCTTCTTCACCAACTCAGATCCAGAGTGTGGGGTTGCCATTAAGATGGGGCCTCAACCCAAAATGAGGGGCAGGGCTGCCATGCCAAGAAGGGCAAAAGAATGAGGACCTGCTGGGGCCAAGAAGGTGGTGTCACCACTCATGTGGACTAGAGAATGAGGCTGCCGAAAGTGAAGAGAACTTAAAATACTTACTGATAAAGATCAAAGACCATAGTTTTCGGTATGGATTGCATCTCAATGAAAAGAAAACAAAAATCCCCACCACTGGACCAATAAACAACATTCTAATCAACAGAGAAAAGATTGAAGTTGTCAAAGACTTCATTTTTCTTGGATCAACCATCAACACTCCTGGAAGCAGCAGCCAAGAAATCAACCCATGAGTTGCATTAGGCAAGTCTTTAGCACAAGAACTTTTTGGGATGTTGAAGAACAAAGATGTCAGCTTGAGGATTAAGGTGCACCTGACCCGACTTTTGGTATTTTCAATAACCTCATATGCATGCAAAAGTTGGACAGTGAATAAGGAAGATCGTAGAAGAATTGATGCATTTGAGTTATGATGTTGCAGGAGAATATTGAAAGTACCATGGGCTGCTAAAAGAACAAACAGTTCTGTGTTGGAAGAAGTGCAGCCAGAGTGGTCATTGGAGGCCAGGATGGTCAGACTTCATCTCTCATACTTCAGTTATATTGTCAGGAGGGACCAGTCACTGAAGAAGGATATCATGTTTGGTAAGGTAGAGGGTCAGAGAAAAAGATGAAGTCCCCCCAGAGAGATGGATTGGCAAAGTAGCAGCATCAATGGGCTCAAGCATGGTAACAATTATGAGGTTAGCCCACAACCGGGCAATGTTTCGTTCTGTTGTGCATAGGTTTGCTATGAGTCGATACTGACTCGATGGCACCTAACGACAACAACAAAGCCAAGGGAACAGAGTTGCCTTTCTAGTGTTCCTGGAATGCAAACCCAAGGTTGATGGGCCTCTACCCAGAATTCAGAGTGTATGACCAACACCAAGTGTATGGAAGGCAAAGCCATTGCCTAGATGGTTTCAGAGAACAGAGGATTATTTTAAAACCTGAGAGCTAATGTAAATTGTTTTGCTGGATTTTTAACTTGCTTGGTGCCTATTTTCCCTTCTTCCTCTCCAATTGCTCCTGTTTATGATGGAAATGTCTACCTTTTGCCTGTTCCATAATTGTATTTGGAAGAAGATAACTTGTATTCTAGATTCATGGATGAAGAGGAATTTTGTCTCAGGTTGGAATTTGGACTTAGAAGAATTTGAGGATAATGTAATGGAGTTAATGTACTTTGGACTATACACATGTTAGTTGCATTATGTTAGGCACAAGCATGATTTTATAATTGTCTTCATTTAGAGATTATGTATGTCTTAAGGAGCTATGTAAAGGTACCAAGTTCACAAAGGGTGGTCTGTGATAGTTAATATTTTGTGTCAACTTTGTTTGTTCAGAATTTTCCGTGGCATTTTCATTATAGTAGCATTAGATAACTACAACTGCTCCCAATAAACAACAGGCCCACATTAGTGACATTGTGAGGGAAAGCCAACCCATATGTTAACAATCTTAGAGAGCAGAGGTACATAGTGTATGTTGTTGTTGTTGTTGTTTTTAATTGCCATCGAGTTGGTTCCGATCCATAGCAACACTATACAGGCTTTCCGAGGCTTTAAATCTTTACGGGAGCAGAAAGCCTCATCTTTCTCCCATAGAGTGGCTGGTAGTTTCAAACTGCTGACCTTAAGTTTCACAGCCTGATTCGTAACCACTAGCATTGCAAATTATCAGAGTGTTGTCATTTTTTTCATAGAAATCCCCAAAACCTTGAGCCAGAATCACAACATCTGAGACATTGCCCAGGAGTGAGAAGACTGATATCTGTTCATTTGAGTTAAAATAATATCCCATACATTTACATTGGATTACATCTCCATGTAAAGAAAACAAAAATCCTCACTACTGGACCAATAAACAATGTTCTTATCAATGGAGAAAAGATTGAAGTTGTCAAGG